TGAATGTTGCTCTCTGGAGTTCTAACCTAAGCCCTCTCCCAGCCTCTTTTCATTCCTGTCTCTCAGGGTGATATTGACTAACCAAGTGGAAAGTCTCAGCCACTGAAAAACACTTCCTCTGCTACACTCCAATATCTGACTGGCTCACAGACTCAACTTTCAAATCTCTCCCTAATCTGTGGCCTCATCTCCACCTTAAGAAATCTCCTTCCTCCCAGTTTTTCGCCCATGCCTGTCCATTGTGCAAAGTTTATTAAGAATGATTTTTCTTTTTTAAAAAATTTTTTGAAGTTTATTTTGAGAGAGAGGTTGCATGTGTGAGCAAGGATGGGGGAGGAGGAAAGAGGGAGAGAGAATCCCAAGCAGGTTCCACATGTCAGCGCAGAGCCCGACATGGGGCTCAATCCCACAAACCATGAGATCATGACTTCAGCCAAAATTGAGTTGGACACTTAACTGACTGAGCCACCAAGACTCCCCAAGAATGATTTTTCTAAAACACAAGTCCGATTGTGACATTTCTCCATTTAGATCACCTGAACAGTTTTCCATCCATGTAGTTGTCTATCCTACAAAATCCAAGCTCCTGCGCCAGGCAAACGAGGTTTTTCATGTTGGACATTTTGGCCCCTTGCACGCTTATCTCCTGTTACCCCCTTATATCACTCCCATTCATCACCACCTTGGCACCCTGTGCTTCTTGAAGCTTCTGTGCCTGGGCGCTTCTGGGAACAGCTGATCCCTCTGTTGTTCCTTCTCTTACTCACTCTTCAAACCTCCTCTGAGAAAAGACCTACCCAAGCACCACACTCCCTGCAGTCAAATTAGGCACTTTCTCCTCCATGCTCCCAGGGTGCTCTGTATTTGCCATGAAGATGAAGTCACACTGGTCTCCTCTACCAGAGCCGGAGCCCCATGTCTTCACTTTTGCAGTCACTACATCATTGAGCAGATTTGGACACACAGTAGCGGTTCAGTAAATGTTGTGGTGTGATATTAACCCATCTTAGGAACAGATGGTTACAAAGGGTGGAGCCCACTGCTTTGAGCCTGAAGATGTTTTGACTGAACTTCTTCCCTCAATTTTTATTCTGAAAAAAAATTTCAAGCTTACAGAGGAGTTGCAAGAATAGTACAAGGAACCCTCAGATATTCTTCACCTAGAGTCACAAATTGTCAACATTTTGCCACACCTGCTTTATCTGTTTATTTTCTCCGAATCAGTTGAGTTCATTGCAGACCTCATGACACTTTACCCCCTAAATAATCTGCCCTTCTCTCCAAAGAACAAGAATGTTCTCCTTTCTAACCAAAATTCAATGCTCAGAAAATTTAACATTGACCCAATGTTATTCAATAAGCAGTCTGAAATGCAATTTAAATGCAAATTAAATTTCCCCAATTTTGTCATTTTAAATTGTTTTGGATTCAGGAGCTCTAGGATTGTGCATTGCACTTAGTTGTCACATTTCTTCGGTCATCGTCTTCTTCTTTTTTTTAATGTTTATTTTTGAGAAAGAGGGAGAGGCAGAGAGAGAGGCATACACCGAATCCAAATCAGGCTCCAGGCTCTGAGCTGTCAGCACAGAGCCTGATGCGGGGCTTGAATCCACGAGCCATGAGATCATGACCTGAGCCAAAGCCAGACACTTAACTGACTGAGCCACAGAGGTGCCCCCCTTTTTAAAAAAATAGTCTCCACACCCAAGGTGGGGCTCAGACTCACCACCCCAAGATCAAGAGTCGGATGCTCTGACTGAACCACAGCCTGGCACCCCTCTCTAGTCTTTGACATTCACGAAATGTTTATTTGCAGAGTCCAAGCCAGCCCCATCGTGCAGCATTTCCCTCAATTTGGGCGTTTCTGGTTGTTTCTGCATGCTTTGATTCAGATTAAGCACTTTGCACAGGAATACTGCATGGGTGATGGTGTATCCATGTCCATTTGCTCCACTGTTGGTGATGCTGAGTTTGATCATTTGGTTAAGGTGGTCAGTCTCGTTTTCTCTCTTTTTTTTTCCGTGCTGTAAGAAGTAGGATGTAGAGCAGTGACTGTTTTTTGTTTTTTTTTTTTTTTTTAGAAATGGAAAAAAACTTCCTTTATTTTTTATATATAATTCATTGTCAAGTTAGCTAACATACAGAGTATACAGTGTGCTCTTGGTTTTGGGGGTAGATTCCTCTGATTCATCTCTTGCATCCAGATTTCTCCTTTGTAAAGATAACTTCTCCCTTTTGTAATTAAGCGGCAAACTGTATGAGTTTGCGTGTGTGTGTGTGTGTGTGTGTGTGTGTGAGGCACCTTCATACTGTGTGAATATGCTCTTCTCCAACCGTCTTTTACTCATCAATTCATTGATTTGTGTGTGTGGCAAAACACACATAACAAAATTTACCATCCTAACCATTCAGTGTACAGGTCAGTGGTATTGAATACGTTCAAAATGTGGTGCAACCATCATCACTGTCCATCTCCAGGACTCTTTTTATCTTGTAAAACTGAAACTCTACACCCATTAAACAATAACTCCCATGCTGCCCTCCCCCCAGCCCCTTGCCACCACTATTCTCTCTGTCTCTGTGAATCTGACTACTCTAAACACTTCAGATAAGGGGAATCATGCAGTATTTGTCTTTTTGTGACTGGCTTATTTCACTTAACATAATGTTAATATGCTAAGTTCACATTAGTAGCATAAAGTGAACCTCAAGATTGATCCATGTTGTAGCATATGTCAGAATTTCCTTCTTTTGTAAGGATAATAGTCTGCTGTATGTATATACCAGTTTGTTTATCCATTCATCTGTGAATGTACACTGGGTTACTTCCACATTTTAGCTGTTGTGAATAATGCTGCTGTGATCATGGGTGTACAGATATCTCTTTGAGACCCTTCACTGGTTTTTAAAGACAAATATTTTATTTTTAATTTTTATTTATTTTGAGAGAGAGAGAGATAGAGAGAGGACACACACACGCGAGAGCAGGGGAGGGGCAGAGAGGGAAGGAGAAAGAGAATCCCAAGCAGGCTCTGAGCTGTCAGCTCAGAGCTGGATGCTGGGCTCAGTCTCATGAACCGTGAAGTCATGACCTAAACAGAGAGATCAAGTGTTGGACACTTAACCAACGTACCCACCCAGGTGCCCCAAAGACAAATATTTTAATAATAATTACATTAATTCTGAAGATTTTCTTTGTGAAAATTATTTTTTGGAGCAATTTCTTTTAGGCCAATTTAAAATTTTATTTTTATTTACTTATTTATATTTTTTGAGAGAGAGCACAAGCTGTGGGGAGAGGGGCAGAGGGAGAGAGAGAGAATCCCAAGCAGGCTCCACGCTTAGTGCAGAGCCAGATGCGGGGCTCAATACCATGACCTGAGCCAAACCCAAGAGTCAGGTGCTCAACTGACTGAGCCACCCAGGTGCCCCAGGTCAATTTAATTCTTGATCAATTACCTACAAAGAATAATACCTTTTCCACTTCCATTTTAATAAAGTCACTTCTTTATTTCTTTTTGTATAATTTCCTTTTGTATAAAAGTTAGAAAATATTTTTGTTCACATAAAATTTTAGTAATTATAGCTTCTGCCTTTGTATGTTTTCTGGTAAGTCTTGTTTTCCCCCAGGTTACTTATATATATATAAATCTTACCATGTAATGTTCTATTAGTAATATTCTTTGTGTAATCTCTACCCACAATGTGGGGAACAAACTCAGGACCCCGAGACCAAGAGAGGCATGCTCTATGGACTGAGGCAGCCAGGTGCCCGTCTTTATGAATTAGATAAAAGATGAAACAGCGAATCCACAAGAAAACGATGCCCACTTACTATTGCCACTGCAATTCTTCCTTATTTGACACCTCGTGTCAGTGTTCATGCCTTTGGTGAAGTAAAGCTATGAAAGGTGAAATTACAATGTTATTTTGTTTGGGGATCAATGTTATTTTGTTTGTTTACTCAACTGGGAAAGCTTTTCTGAAGATGATGTTGGAATGTAGCAGCTCCAGTAAGCAAATGGAGAAAATGTTCTCCCCCAGTAAATTTGATGAGCACAGAACACAGGCAAAGGAAGAAAACAGTCAGGTACTTCCTCCCTTTCATTGTCATTATTCGTTTTCCCTGCTAAATAAATATCCATTGACATCTTAGTAACAGTGTCCATATAGTTGGTGCAAAGTTTTTGTAGGACGGTGAAAATTTGTGAAAGAAGTCATCAACATCCACTTAATTATTGAAAAATTGCTGTAAGCTCCAATAATAGCCGCTTGCTATCACTTTTTTTTTTTTTTTTTTTGCTTGCAATCACATTCTTTGGTCATCTATGAAGGATTATTACGTGCATAGAATGTAAACATTTCTGAAGTAACAGAACTTGGCAGTTCGTGCTGCTTGCACAGGTGTTGGAAAGGCGTGAGAACCAGGGTGAACCAACTCTGCAGGAACAGAATATGATTGCGGCGTGAAGCGCGTGCGCACAGCACAGACCACAGCGCACCGTGCGCGCGCTCCGAGCTGGAGTCTGTCGCACCGCGAAAAGGGCGATCAAGTGCTCGGGGCGCATCCTCCAGGACCAGGTTCACCGAATGCCGTTAGCGGGGCCGCTGACAGCCTGCCAGCTGCATCCCCAATACCTCCCTCAGGCGTCCCTTACCCACCACTTGCTTGCACTGAAAATAATCACTGCGATAGTAATAAAGAATCCTTAAACGGCGTCTCGGTTTTTTGCAGGCGGCCGAAGGTCCCCTTCCTGGGCTCTGCACTTGCGAGTCCCCTGGCGGGCCCGGGGCTCCTGGATCGCGCCCCTCTCCAGCCGTACTTCTCGGACGCCTTGCCCCCATCACCCCTACCTCCCAGACCTTGCGACCCCGTTTGGCCTTCGCGGCCTACCGGCCCCAACTCTGCACTGCTCCGCGCGACCCCGCCTCCGGATCCCCGGCAGGGCTCCTGCTCTCTCCGCGCCCCGCAGCGGGGCGGGGCGGCGCAGGGGGCGGGATTTTCTGGCACCTTCTGGGCGCCGCGAACGCTCGGATCTCGGGCTCGGAGGCCGGAAACGTCGCTACGGAGCCGCAGGGCATCCCGCACGGAGGCCCTTTCTTGTTCTCCGCGGAGGCCGCTCCGTCAGCGTAGACATGGCCAAATGGGGCCAGGGGGACCCGCGCTGGATCGTGGAGGAGCGGGAGGACGGGACCAATGTGAACAACTGGCACTGGTGCGGCCGGGCGGGGGCCGCGGCTTTCGGGCCACCTCCTCCGCAGCGGCGGGCGGGATGGTGGGGCCCCTCTGCGAGCACCGGGCTCCCGGTGCCCTGCGGGGTGGGGTGGCCAGGCCTCTCGGGCCGCGGCGCTCCCTCCGTAGGGCGGGGCCTGCACAGGTGCAGAGGATTCTCCCCGCCCCCGCAGCCGCTCAGCGCGCTGCTGTAAATAAGCCTCAGGTGAGTCCGGAGACCTGGGGGCTTATCTGCACTTGGCTGTGGAACTGCAGTTTCCTTCTTGTGAAATTTGGTTTGGGCCCCACGAATGGTATCTGACTTACCTCTTCAACTTTGACAGTCTGTGACCTTAAGACTCCCCCACCCCCCACCCCTCTTGATGTTTCTAGAAGTTAAAAGGAGCTAGAGTGTGCGCGTGTGTGCGCGCTTGTCCGTTGGTCTGCGTGTAGTGGAAAGAACAGGAAATTGGATCTCAGCTGTAGATCTAACTCGATTGGCTTTTAGTGAGCCCCGCCTTCTAGGAGTTTGAGCGGTTGCACATCCTTTTTGGATGTCATCTGGAACATGGGCTTGATACTTGCCTCCCTCTCTGCCCCAGAGTTTCAGGAGGTGATGCAGCATCACTGAGGGCTGTGTTACCTCAAGGCCATCAAGCTGATGTTGAGGCAGGTCAGGGCAGAGTAAAGCCGTCAGCTTGTGAGCGGCTTATTGAGGGAGCCCTGGCCTCTCCTTTCCCAGCACTGTCACCATGATACACCAGGGACTTCTCTCACCTCGTTTCCACTCCCTAAAATGGAAGCATTTATTTGGGAAGATTGCATGAGATAATATATGTGTGAAAACACTTGATCATTTGTCTTGTGATTAAAATTAATTCGGTTATTACTGCCTTTTTGTATGGCCGCTTTGCCCATCCATTTCCAATGGGTGAGATTGCTAGACCCCTTGCCCCCAAATAAGCTAGTGTTTTGAAGACAAAATACTACTTTACATAGTGGATAATAGTATCCTAACGAACTGAGCGGGAATATGAAAAGATATTTGGTGGAAATCTGATTTAAGAAGCACATTTGGAACTTTGAGATTGGTAGGTCTGTCAAGGCTGCCTGAGAGGAGATGAGCGGATCTCACTGCCCTGATGCCCCAGCCTGGGCATGTGGATACCAGCTGGGGCTTCCATTCATGGCTCTTCCTTTCTGGTCCCTGGCAGGACAGAGCGGGATGCTACCAGCTTGAACAAGGGGAAGCTCCGCAACCTCCTGGTAGGCATCGTCGTGGAGAATGAGACTGGACACCGTGTAATCAGTGAGCTGAGGCGGGTAGAAGGTGAGGTTTCTTGCAGCAGCCGCAAAGGATTTCTTCTATGAGTGGAACATCAGACTGAGCTGGAAAGGTAACGGGGCTCAGGGGACAGCTAGGGCTGGAGGCAGCCTTGGGGCAGAGTTGGTTCATTTATCATTCATTTGTTCAGCAGATATTTTTAGAACTCCTGATATGAGCCTAGCACTTACTGGCCCCTGAATTGGTCTTCATAGTTACAGATACCCTTCTGTCATGTCCGACTAGCTGGGGGCTTCCCTTTCTCCCATCACAGAGTTGCTTAGAGCTCTTTTTTTTTTTTTTAATTTTTTTTTAATGTTTATTGATTTCTGAGACAGGGATTGACAGAGTATGAACGGGGGAGGGTCAGAGAGAGAGGGAGACACAGAATCTGAAACAGGCTCCAGGCTCTGAGCTGTCAGCACAGAGCCTGACGCGGGGCTCGAACTCGCAGACTGTGAGATCATGACCTGAGCCGAAGTCAGACGCTTAACCGACTGAGCCACCCAGGCACCCCTGCTTAGAGCTCTTTGATTGCAGCTGGACTCTTGTCTGCCAGGCACTTGTGAGCCCTAGAGTTTTCTGGAGCTGCTGGAACACTCTTCTCTGCATGCGGACTGTTTTGGGTCCTTCAGGTCCTTGTCCTGAGTGAAGCCACCTATCTCTGTTATACAAAGATCGCAGGTCCCTTCCTTGTACTGTCTCCCTTCCCACTTTATTTTCCCCCACAGCACTGTTATTTGGTATCTTTATATGGTTACTTAAATATTTTATTTATCTGGTTGCCCTCCAGCCCCCATTCATCAGGGCAGGGATTTTTAAAAATACCAGCTTTATTGAGATCTGATTCACATACCATATAGTTCATCCATGTAAAGTATGCAGTTCAGTGGTTTCCAGCACACTCACAGAGTTGTGCAGCCATCACTACAGTTGATTTTAGAACATTTTCATCACTCACAAAAACCCCTGAACTCGTTAGCAGTCATTTCCCAGTCTTTGGCAACCACTGATCTGTTTTCTGTCTCAGTGGATTTGCCTCTTCTGGACACTTCTATGAATGGAATCCTAGAGTATGTGGTCTTTTGTGAATGACCCCCCCCCTTTTTTTAATTTTAACACCAGTATAGTTAATATAAGTGTTAAATTAGTTTCAGATATACAATATAGGGATTGAACAATTGTATATATTACTCGGTCTCATCTTAAATTCCACATATGAGTGAAATCATATGGTATCTGTCGTTCTCTGACTTATTAACGTTGGATGGATCTCGAGATCCATCTATGTTGTTGCATATGGCAAGATTTCATTTTTTTTGTGTGGCTGAATAATACTTCATTGTGTGTGTGTGTGTGTATATATACATATATATACACATATATATATTGGAATAAAATATTCCATAATTTGGCTATTGTAAATAATGCTGAAATAGATATAGGGGTGCATATCTTTTTGAATTAGTGTTTTCATTTCCTTTGGGTAAATACCCAGTAGTGTGATTTCTGGATCATAGGGTAGTTCTATTTTTAATTTGTTGAGGAAACTTCACACTGTTTTCCACAGTAGCTGCACCAGTTTGCATTCCCACCAACAGTGCAGGAGGGTTCCCGTTTCTCCACATCCTTACCAACACTTGTTATTTCTCCTGTTGTTATTGTTTTTTAAAATATGTATTTATTTAAGTAATCTCTACACCCAATGTGGGTCTCAAACTCATGACACCAAGATCAAGCCTGCCCTTCTGACTGAGGCAGCCCAGTGCCCTGTTTCTTGTATTTTTGATTTTAGCCATTTTGATGGATGTGAGGTGATCTCTCATTGTGGTTTTGATTCGCATTTCTCTTATGATTAGTGATGTTGAACATCTTTTCATGTGTCTGTTGTCCATCTGTATGTCTTCTTTGGAGAAATGTCTGTTCATGTCTTTTGCCCATTTTTAGATTGGATTATTTATTTTTTTGGTGTTGAGTTATAGAAGTTTTTTATTTTCAAAAAAATATTTTTATTTTTTAAAGTAAGCTCTGCATCCATTGTGGGGCTCAAACTCACAACCCCAAGATCAAAAGTCACAGGCTGTACTGACTGAGCCAGCCAGGCACCCCTGTAGAATTTCTTTGTACCTTTTGGATACTAATCCTTTATTGGATATATCTTTTGCAAATATATTTTCCCATTCAGTAGGTTTTTAGTTTTGTTGATCATTTCCTTTGCTGTGCAGAAGCTTTTTATTTTGATGTAATCGCAATAGTTTATTTTTGCTTTTATTTTCCTTACCTCAGGAGACATACCTAGAAAAGAGTTGCTGTGGTTAGTGTCAGAGAAATTACTGCCTGTGCTCTTCTAGGACTTTTATAGTTTTGGGTCACACATGGAGGTGATTGGCTCCTTTCACTCAGCATAATGTTTTCAAGACTCATCCATGTTGTAGCATGTTTCATTCCTTTTTATGGTTGAATGATATTCTGTTGTACAGATATAGCATGTTTTGTTTATCTGTTCATCAGCTGATCAATATTTGTGTTGTTTTCATTCTTTAAGTCATTTGGTTAGGGATGGATTGGTTTTGTTTCCAGGCCCAGATCACTGTCTGGAACGTTGTGTGTTTGTTAAAAGAGTAAGTTTCTGCCGTGGTGCCTAGTTCCTGGCTGACAGACAGTCTGGGCTCAATGAATACTTGTTGAAATTATCATGGATATGAAGACAAAGGGGAAAAGGAAGAGGAGGGGAGAGGGAGAGATCTAGTTGTAGAAGATTGTACTGAGTTAAAGTTTGGGCCTTTGCCCAGGAGTCGGCTCCTTTCTTGAGAGTTGGGTTAGAGAGTTCCACAGCAAGCTGGCCTTGGGCATTTGCCCTACTGGCCGCTTTGCTAGAGCTGGGCTTGAGCCCAGGAAGGTGTTCCACAAGTGTCAAAAGTCCACTCCTGCCTGGGACCTTCTGGCTAGAGGTTTTCTCTCTGTTGCTCCTTCATTGTCTGCTGTTGGCTGGACATGGCAGGGTCTGGCACCTTACACCCTCACCCTACCCCACCCCCAGCACAGGGCTCCGAGTGTCCCAGGGAATCTCGTGGCCTTGTGTCTCTTCTGTCTCCCTCACCTCAAAGTGGCAACCACCTCCTTTGTGAGATAAGACTCAGCTACTCCAAGACAGCAGCTAGAGGGCAGGCTGAGGATGCCCTACCCTCACCCCTTGTGCTTTTCTCCTCTAGCAGTGAGCCCCAGAGGTGGCAAGTGGGACCCTCTGGGGAAGAGTCAACACTGGTCGTTTTTTTTTCTTTTTTAAATTAAACTTTAATTTTTTCCCACCTTTATTGAGACACAGTTGATTTTATAACACTGTATAAGGTTAAGGTATATGGCCTGATGGGGTGTGTGTGTGTGTGTGTGTGTGTGTGTGTATGTATATATTAGAAATGATGATCACAATAAGGTTAGTTAACACATCTCTCATCCCACATAGTTACCATTTTTGTGTGTGTATGTTGAGAACTTTTCAGATTTACTTTCTTACTAACTTTCAAATGTATAATATAATAATGTTAACTGTAGTCATCAGGCTGTATATTACATCCTCAGAACTTACTCTTCCTGTAACTGGAAGTTTGGACCCTTTGTTTCCTTTGACCACCTTCAACACCACTGGCTCCCTGCAACCACCAATCTACTCTCCGTTTCTAGGAGTTTGATTTTTTAGATTTCACATGTAAATGAGATATCATTTTTGTTGTTGTCTGACTTTTTTTCACTTAGCATAATGCCTGCAGGGTCCATCCATGTTGTTCCAAATAGCAGGATTTCCTTTTTTTTTTTTTTATGACTGAATAATAGTGTGTGTGTGTGTGTGTGTGTGTGTACACCACATTTTCTTTATCCAACTGAAGTATCCAGTGGATACTTCAGTTGTTTCCATGTGTTAGCAACTGTAAATAATGCTGTAGTCAACATGGAGGTGCAGATGTCTCTTAGATAGTGATGTTATTTCCTTTGGATATAAGTAAATCCCTGGAGTATGAGTAACTTGTTCTGTGAGCGTTCTGCAAGACAAGCAAACATTTCCAGTAAATTCTAACTCAGTAAATGAGCAGTATCTTGCAATGCGAGTAGTAGGTGACGCCAAATGGCACATGATCACAACCGATCACAACTAAGCCCACAACAAGCACAACTTGAAAACACTTTGGTAGACAAGTGCTTTGGATTACAAGCATGTTTCTGGAACGAATTCTGGTTACAAACCAAGGTTTTACTGGTATACCCAGAAGTGGGATTGCTGGATCATATGGTACTTCTGTTTCAATTTTCTTGAGGAACCTCCATCCAGTTTTCCGCAGTGGCTGCATCAATTTGCATTCCCACCAACAGCACACAAGGGTTCCCTGTTGTCCACATCCTCACCAACACTTGTTATCTCTTTCTGATCCTGGCCATTCCAGCACATGTAGGGTGATCCCTCATTGTGATTTGGTTTTTTGTTTTTTCAACTTAAAATTTTTTTATTTTATTTTTGAGAGAGAGAGAGCAGGAGAGAGGGGCAGCGGGAGAGGAAGAGAGAGAGAGAGGGAATATGAGAATGAATTCCAAGCAGTCTCCACACCCAGCTCGGAGCTCGAATGGGGGCTTGATCCCATGACCCTGAGATCATGAGCCAAAAATCAAGAGTCAGACTTTCAACCAACTGAGCCACCTAGGTGCCCCTGTTCCCATAGATCTTTTTGTTTTGTTTTGTTTTTTTAATTTTTGAGAGAGCGTGCATGTGCAAGTGGGGGAGAGGGAGAGGAGGGGGAGAGAGAAAGGGAGAGAGAGAAAGAGAAAGAGAGAAAGAGAATGAATTCTAAGCAGGCTCCACGCTGAGACTCCCAAGCTCCCACTCTCGGCTTGATCTTACCACCATGAGATCATGACCTAAGCCAAAATCAAGAGTCAGCTGCTTTACCCACACGCCCCCTCATTGTGATTTTGATCTGCATTTCCCTGATGATTAGTATGTTGAGTACCTTTTCATG